ATTAGATGGAAGCAGCGGAACGATTGCAATATCATGGGGAACTCCATGACAATAAATAGGATCAGCCTTCGACCTACTAAATCTAGTTTTTTAAACTATATATACCTGCAGTGAGAAAAAATGACAACGTATGTAGTGGGTAGTGAAAAGATAATTGGGAAATGTCAGCGAAAAAAATTACATATTCCTTTCACGGGCGGACAGACATAAACTTTCAATAGTAAGCTCTGTACGTACGTTAGAAAGGATTGTGTGGGAGGGGGTGGGGGAGGATTTGAATGTGCTTCAGTATGCGGAACCTCTTCTTCCCATCCTTGCTTCGTGCACTTCCGACGGTAATTTCAAATCTTTCCTCCATCTCAATGGAAATTCGTCTTTTCGTGAGACGTATCCTACCGTAAACAGTGCAAATCGATACAAATCGGAGTTAAATTGTTTTCCGATGCTTTTCGTCGTGCTAAGTAAAAACGTCGAATGAGCATTCGAATATTGCCAAATTTCCTGTCAGATAATATTTATTTTTGAGAAAAACCATGAATATTCTTCCTTTGGTATTTAAGGACTTTCCAGATTATACTACGGACAAAATCCTCTGAAAAATCGGAAGAAAAATATTCTCGGATTTTCTGAAAATTCGTGATTTGTCGAAAGAAAATCGGCAACGCCTGATGACTCGTACGGCGTTTATCTTTAGCACGGTAGCAGTGGACTTTGTCGAGCACGAAGACAAGTTGCATCCTTTCACTGTTCTATCATTGACTTGTAACAAAAACTTAACCTGAGACTCTGCTTGTTGAAGAATTAGTGTCTGCGTTTTTTAATGTGCATGCCCTGCTTACACCCTGATATTAAAGCTAAATGAAAATGTTGGATTCATTTTCTACTTTGCTCGTAAAATTCGAAATGATGGGAATTGAGTTGACTCGACCAGGTTTTACATTTTTATTCGATTGTTTACGAGCTCGATTTTTTGCTCAACGCAAAGTTGTTTGTTTCGGAACGTAACAATTTTAAATTTGCATATAAACTGCAGCTCGGAGGATCCTCAGAATCACTGGATGGTTTTGAGTTGTGGTCTCCTTTTTTGTGAAATCTTCTATGGGAAGGATAAAAATGACATCCTAACTTGCGTTAAATTTACATTTTTAACTATACTTTCTTCCAACTCTTCCGCTAACTCAAATATCGACGGTGTAACTACCAAACCACGTATCTCGTTTGCGATGTTTAAAAATCTCCGCCCTCATTTTATTTTTGTAAAGGAGAACAGACGTATATCATTCCTTGAGTTTTTCACAGATTTTTCTTCGCAGAGAGAAGGAAATTCACAGAAGTTTTCAAGAATTGACGTTGAGTGGTTTTCCATTTAAAAAAGAAACTATGACAGGAAGTCTACAATGTCGCAAATCGAGACACGTGGTCTGGCAGTTTCACCATTGGTATGCTAATATGCACGCTTAAAACACTTTTCCTGAGTTGTCCATAAAATGAATCTATCGCACCCATTGTTCTCCGGCCTATTAGTGTTATTATACACTTAAAAAACCAATGTATTTTTCGGAAATTGAAAAAAATGCGTTGAAAGTAAGTGATATTTTACTTAATCGATACAGTAGACAACGCTGTAATTAAGTTTCGGTGTAATAGAAACTATAGCGAGGCGCCCTTAGTTAGTGCCGCATGCACGGACACTAATCGAATTTCATTGGGACGCTCGGATTCAACGATGACCATACGTATTCCATTAGAACTAGAGAGAGTCTAGACAACGCGACTCATGGATGCCACGAACGGGAATAAAGATTACACAAATCGGACGTTTTTTGTAATCTTTGATGAACCCATTTCCGAATTCCTGTCTCTGTCCCCTCTCTCATTCAGCCGTAACCCCTATTCCCCGGTCCATTCCGGTTTATAATCTTTGCAATTGGTGAAAATGTAATCATTATTCCCGTTTGTGACACTGAGAAGGCCTAAAATACGGGATCAATCAGATATGAATTTGCATTGTTTTTACTCTAAGTATATAGAGCGCCTGGATGCAAGATGCAACTATACGGGCTCCATGGATGCGCGTGTTGCATACGCCCGAGAGTGAAGGCGTTTTGACTCTGCGGACACAATTTATGACTAATCTGCAGCGCACTGCAGGTCGGATTGGAGGACAGTATGTGTCACTAAATCACGAACGGACTTCGACTCGCAAATATAGTAATCTTGAGGCCAATGACGCGTATACAACACTATGCGCACATTGAAAGCGCTAGATAGTAACGCAGAAACCGAGGTGTACGTAGTTCGAATAGCCCAACTTTTCCGCAAAGAAAGGCCCCGGTTTCGCGCTGAACCGAAAATCTGTGTGCATTGAGACATGAGCCCTGAGACCCATAAGAAGAGATGCATAACAGGGCTCACGTCATGATGCACATAGTTCCTTCGGCAGAAATACGTCCACTCAATCTTCTCACCCGGTACTTTCAGAATATTAACTAAAAAAACACGAGGCTTAGTGACCCGTGCTTAAAAAATTAGAGGAGAAACATCTTCAAAACTTCACTGGAAAAAATACATTGGATCTAGAGTCCAGACTCTTGAAAACATCGACAAGAAAAAGAACTCTTGATTCAATCAGAATCTCGCTTTGATCAAGAACCAAGCCTTGACCCATGCTTAAAAAATTAGAGGAGAAACATCTTCCAAAATTCACTGGAAAAAATACATTGGATCTAGAGTCCAGACTCTTGCAAACATCGACAAGAAAAAGAACCCTTGATTCAATCAGAATCTAGCTTAAATCAAGAACCAAGCCTTGACCCATGCTTAAAAAATTAGAGGAGAAACATCTTCAAAAATTCACTGGAAAAAATACATTGGATCTAGAGTCCAGACTTTTGCAAACATCGACAAGAAAAAGTACTCTTGATTCAATCAGAATCTAGCTTAGATCAAGAACCAAGCCTTGACCCATGCTTATAAAATTAGAGGAAAAACATCTTCAAAAATTCACTGGAAAAAATACATTGGATCTAGACTCCAGACTCTTAAAAACGTCGACAAGTAAAAGAACTCTTGATTCAATCAGAATCTAGCTTCAATCAAGAACCAAGCCTCTTAATTCAAGCGGATTTCGTTTTGATTCAAGCAAAAATCCGATTAAATCAAGAGTATTTTTTCTTGTCAATGATTTCAAGAGTCTGGACTCTAGATCCAATGTGTTTTTTTCCAGTGCATGCTTAAAAAATTAGAGTAGAAACATCTTCAAAAATTCATGGTTCATCAAACAAAATCTGGCAACGCCCGAATGTTCATACGGCGTTTTTCCTCAAAACGGCAGAACACCATGTCTCCCCGGCGGGAAAAATCGGGAGTTCGTCAACTCGAGGAGAAAAATGAACCGGCGCTGATGACGTCGACGTCTCTGCTATCCAGACACAATGCCTGATTTATGACTCGAAAAAAGAAACTTTTTTTCCACCCCTCCCCCCCCCCTCTTCCCGGAGTAGTGGGGCGCCGTCCCCGATGAATCCCGAAAAGTCCCCTTATCCAACAGTGGCATGGCGTGCTTTTCGATATATCGAGTGCTCTGCCGTTTAAACCTATGGAAAAGGATCGATATGCAGGGTGTTCGCAGCGAACACCTTAACAATCGATTCTTTATCATAGGTTTAAATGGCAGAACAATCGATTTATCGCAAAGCGAGGGATCGCCAGCTCGGGGGAGCGGCCCCGCGAGGAGCTTCGTTGAGAAGAGGATTTAAATATGACTCGAGACGGCTGCGATTTTGAATTAATCTCTCGGCAGGGAATATGCTGGCGTTCGTTAAAGTTCTCCGCGGGAAAAAATGATATTCTAACGCGTTTAAAAATATAATTACGTGATTACACTCAGCGCGTTTTTATAATCCGCGAGATGGCGGTTTGAAGTGAACTCGCTAGTTTGTTCCCGCTTAGTCGGGCACTGTTGTGGATTGTTGTTTTATCTTCGTTTTTACAGTCGCTTTAGTGTGACCTAGAGTTCCTTTATACTGAGAGTCAAGACAATGTAAATCCATTTCTGATTGGTTACCGTATTTTAGGCCTCCACAGTGTCACAAACGGGAATGAAGATTACATTTTCACCAATTGCAAAGATTATAATTTGGAATGGACCGGGGAATTACGGGTTCGGCAAGGAACAAACGGAATGAGAGGAAGAACGGAGAAAAGGAATTTGAGAATGAGCCGATCAAAGATAACGAAAAACGTTCAATTTGTGTAATCTTGATTCCCGTTTGTGACTCCATGAGGGGGTGTTGTCTTGACTCTCAGTATAAAAGCACTCTAGCGTGACCGAATGATGAACCTGCATGCTTGAATGCGTACCTTGTCTAGTGGTTGATTATGGAGGGTATGGATCTGATCGGAAAGAATCGATTGAAAAATAAAACCTTGAATTGATGGACGTAAAGCGATCGACATCGATTCCATCAACAACCACGAATCAATCGACAAACCCGTGAATTGGTCGATAAACCCTTGTTTCGATCAACGACAAACCCGTGACTTGATCGACAAACCCGACTCGAGGGAGCATTCGCAACTTTACCACGTAATATAAAAAAAACCTGGGTCATAATTTCAAAATCTAAATAAAGCGGGCTTTTCTCTTGTTATCTATCGAATAAATAATTTCTCTTGACAAAAAAAATAAAAAATTAAAAAAAAAAATAAAACTGGCTAATTTAGAGACAATTGCCTGTCGATAGCGGCAAAAATCATGAGAATCGGCCCGGTAGAACGCAGGAATTGAGTGTTACCAGATATACGCAAATTTAGGAGGTCTCAGAGTTTATATATAAGATATCTTGTCACGGGCTGCAGAGAATCAAACATGTTTCAAGTTTACATTTTTCGATTGATCCGTGCCGATCGAATCCATACTCTCCGTCGATTATTATTATCCCTAATACTTGAGGATTATTTCGATTACAACGAGGATACCTTGACGTGTGTTACAGGTGAAGTTCACGACAGAGTGCCCGGCGCAGGGGAACCGGAACTACATCCCGGTGGCGGACCTGTACTCGCGGAACTTCACGGACCCGAACGGGGAGTTCCAGCTGGAGCTGAGCATGGGCCACGTGCGGACCCTCTTCGACTCGGAGTTCCGGGTCGGGAGCTCCATCTTCGGGACGTACCACATCCCCTACCCCCTCCGCCACCACACCTCCCACCATCACAAGCCCGGCGCCTCCAACAAGCTCGAGACCACCTACTTCAGCTTCGGCGGATTCGACTGGAACCTCGCTCTCTACCCCTACGGGATCAAGGACGGACACGCTGGTGAGTCAATCCACCATCTAATAGATATAAAGGGATCCTGCAGGCTCATTGTTGAAATTGATAGACAAAGAAGGCAAACAGGGTATGGAGCGATCCTATTGGTTGAAATTCGCGGTTTTTCTAGACTAAGGGGGACTACCAAATCAAGGATGGCCACGCTGGTGAGTCAATCCACCATCTAATAGATGTAAAGTCATCTTCCGGGCTCATTGTTGAAATGGAGATGTTGCATGTGTGAGGAATTTGCGATTTGACTGTTGATTCTTGTGTACAAGTTCGCGAGAAACACGATGGTGCCACCGGTTTTCTCTGAAATTAACTCCCAAGCTCATAAAAAGCTCTCAAGTTGAGGCCAAAATGGAGGGGACGCTATTTTGACAGTCCACGTCTACATCAAAACAAACTCTCCATGCAAAGATAGGGAGCAAATACATTAGCAGGGTTGCCACTTTATTTGGGAACTCTAAAACTGAAAACACGGCATCACTGCTAATGTATTTGCTTCCAACCTTTGCATGGAGAGTTTGTTTTGATGTAGAAGTGGAGTCTCAGGATAGCGTGGGATATCCCCTCCATTTTGGCCTCAACTTGAGAGCTTTTATTGAGCTTGGAAGATGATTTCAGAGAAAACCAGTGGCACCATCGTGTTTCTCGCGAACTTTTACATAAGAATCAATGGTCAAATCGCAAATCCCTCACACATACAACATATCCATTGATAGACAAAGAAAGCAAAAGGGGTATGGATCGATCCTATTGTTTGAAATTCGCGGTTCTTCTAGACTAAGGGGGGACTACCAAATCAAGGATGGACACACCGATGAGTCGATCTATATTGTGTCTATTAAAAGTGATCCTGCGAGCTAATTGTTGCAGTTGATAAACACGGCGATAGACAAAGAATTCGTTGAGAGTTTAGAGCGATCCTATCGGTTGAAATTCGCGGTTCTTATAGACTAAGTGGGGACTACGGAATCAAGGATGGACACGCTGGTGAGTTAATCCATCATCTAAGAGATGAGGTGTCTATTAAAAGTGTTCCTGCAGGCTGATCGTTGAAATTGATAGACAAAACGATGGACAGAGGAGGCTTAGAGAGCATGGAGCGATCTTATTGGTTGAAATCCAGGGTTCCTATAGACTAAAGGGGGTAAAATGATGGACTATGACAAGTTATGATGATTGATGAGCGTTGAACGAAGAATCAAATAAAATTCGCCTGATTATGACTGATGAATGTAAAGGTGAGCACTTATTCTCACTAGTCGACACCATGATCATTGACACCATGCAACGTTACCGTCTCTACCGCGGTGGATGATATCATTAGTCGAATTTTTTCAAAACTCGATATCTTCGGTAATATTGAATGTATAAAGTTGCTAATCGGACGGATCTTATTATTTTAAGACCATGATTCTGAGACCAGCGCAACTGACCCATTACCTTTCCCTTTTATTCCCAGCGCGAAAAAAAATTGTATACCAAAAAAGAGTCTTATTTGGCCCATAAAATTCAATCTGGCAGTATGGCAGTTTCACCCGAAGACACTGTGTATTCATATCCATGGAAAAAAGCGACCTCATAATTGGAATCACCGCTCTTTCCTCGAAGTTGCAGCATCTTTCATCCACCAGTCTATTTCATGTTGCGGTCGTTAGGATTACCAGGTAATATCAGCAATTACAAAACCTTCTTCCCAACCTTTTGTTGGATGGCCCTCCAAAACGCTTTGAGCCTAGCGCAGGAAACGATGATCAAGGAACGGCGGGAAAACACCCTTTGTCAACGTCGCTAATCCTACCGGAAAAAGGAAAAAGGGTTTGGAGCAGAGACGCGAATAAGCGGATGAGTCGCTCTCTGAGCTGTCGCACTCCGATAAAACAGCGTATCTGTATGGACCTGTTAATGGAATCATATGCGATTTTTGTTCAGCACGACAGTAAATACCTGCCTACTGTACTGCCGTGCTAAGTAAAAACGCTGTATGAACCTTCAGGCGTTGCCAAATTTTATTCGATAAAACATGAATCCCCTGGTAAACTCATGAATATTTTTCCTCCAATTTTTCAGGGAATATTTTTCGTATTTTGATGTAAAGTTCCTGAAAATGTCAAGGAAAAATATTCATAATTTTCCGCATAAATAAACATTTTACTAAATGAAATTTGGCAACTTTCGAATGTTCATACAGCGTTCTTCCGTAGGACGGCAGTACTGTAATCATCGCGTGGGTTAATTTTTATAATTTGCACTCCGACTTAATGGAACGACCCTGTTATCTCTGATTCTTAATCCTCTTGTTGCAGTAATGTTTTCAGGGCCTCCCTCTCATAGAAAACGATTTTTTCTTCTTTTTTTAGGGATTACGCATCGCTCTTTTCGTAGTTTCCCGCGCCGTAAAACCCCACTATACTCCACTCGGAAATTGTATTTTAACTAGAAAACTATTGAGCTTTTCTAACTTAAAATTTCATTAATATCATATCTCATGGGGCTGCATCCAAAAATCGGTGACATTTTTAGAAAATTGCTAGGTGATGCTCCCGTCAAAAATTAACTTTTTTAAGTCGAATTTGCAACATTGGAATCTAGTTACGTCCCATCGTCTGGGTTACTAGTTTTACAGGAGAAATTCTAGACTAGGATACGAAATAGCAGACTAGACCAGAAAATAATATATAACTAGAAAACTATTGAGCCTTTTTAACTGAAAATTTCATGAACAGCTCATTTGACTATGCCCAAAAATCAGTGAAATTTGCAAATAAATCGCACGGTGATATTCCCGTCGCAAAATCAATATTTCAAGTCAAATTTGCTACCATGAAATGGAGTTACGTTCCATCGTCTAGGAAACGATTTCGCGAAATAGCAACAACTGCACTTATGCGCCTTGTCCTCCAAGCCCTTCAATTTATTGTAAGTAACATTTTTGTTAATCTCAGTGAGATAAAAAATTTGAAAAACTGCAATGTATCATTTTTACGTGTAGAACAGAAATCCTGCCCTGACTTGGTTATTTCGACGTATTCCTGCCAAGCGGAACTATAGTTAGTTAGTTATTATAATTTGAAGACATTCAGCGACTCAGGCTATTAACGTCTTTTGCATTATGACGTAAGCTCTGTTATGCGTATATTCTTATGGGTCTCAGGGCTCATTCCTTAGTGCACACACTGGAAAAAAAATCAAATAAAATCTAGAGTCCAAACTCTTAAAAACATCGACAAGAAAAAATACTCTTGATTCAATCGGATACTTGCTTAAATCAAGAACCAAGCCTCTTAATTTGAGCGGATTTCCTTTTGATTTAAGCAAATGTGTTTTTTTTCCCAGTACATAGTTCCGTTTGGCAGAAATACGTCCATTTTATCGGTCTTTTTCGGAGGTATCTCTTTGATATCGACAAGTTTTTTTTTTTTTTTTTTTTTTTTTTTTTTTTTTTTTTTTTAATAATTTGTTTTTCGACAGCAATTGATACCAGGGGAGAGACCAAAGCCCTGGCATGACTCACAGCTCGAGGAAAGGGGACGCGGATCCCTTTAGGTTATTTAATCTGCGCAGTTCAAACTTCACGAGGCCTCAAACTTTCCCCTGGGCTCGCCGCGCCGTGGAAAACGCCTCAATTCACATTTAATTTTGCGCCTCCGCTCACAAAACGTCGTTCCTCCGACGTAAGCGCGTATCTCTGTTTTCAGCATGAGCCCCAGAAAGCATGGATTTATATGTAAAACGAGGCTCAAGTGGAAATTGAGATGCGCTCCTCCGTTGGAGGAGCGACGAAAATAGAGGCCGCGTGCCTCTACGCCCTCGGAAACCGCAGTTCAGGTATCAAATGTTAAAACGCCCGAAAGTTTCGCGGGAACTTTGAACTTTTATGAATATAAGTCCGGTAAAATTTAAACTTGCATTGTGTGTAACAATGTGTAAGTATCGTGTAAAACCACTTCCCAAGTAACTGTTTTCAACGGAAAAATCACGATATTTTGGAATTTAGTGGAAATATCTACAACCGACCTGTCTTGAGTGTCTTATTGACTACCGGTCTACTGTGCGGCGTCTCACTCTCAGTGGAAAAGGGCAAACAGAAAGTTATCAAAAGCGGCTTCAAGAGGGGAAAGTTCGGGACTGAGTCTTTGACGAGAAGTGCTTAACTCGTAGAAGCTAAGTATTTTTGAAACCGCCCTCAGGCTATTATAGCAGTATAATAATAATCAAAAATAACTGAAGTTACCCACTGAATTTGGCGTTTCTTATTGGAAAGTTAGCTTTAAAAATGTCAGACGGAAAGCTCCTGAACACCAATTTAAATTTGCAACCTCTTTGAAATCAGGCGCGACCCGCCAGCGGGCCGATTATTGAAATGTATAGACATAGAAGACAAAATGGATATGGAGAGATCCTATTGGTGGAAGTTGGTGGTTGCAATAATGATGTTGCATGTGTGAGGAATTTGCGATTTGCAATCGATTCTTCTGTAAAAGTTCCGGAGAAACACGATGATACCACTGGTTTTCTCTGAAATCATCTCCCAAGCTCAAAAAAAGCACTCAAGTTGAGACCAAAATGGAGGGGATATCGCACCCTACCATCAGAGTCCACCTCTACATCAAAACAAAACTCTCCATGCAAAGATAGGGAGCAAATACATTTGCAGGGTTGCCACTTTACTTGGGGACTCCAAAACTGAAAACACGGCATCACTGCTAATGTATTTGCTCCCTATCTTTGCATGGAGAGTTTGTTTTGATGTAGAGGTGGAATCTCAGGGTAGGGTGGGATATCCCATCCCTTTTGGCCTCACTTTGAGAGCTTTTTTTGAGCTTGGAAGATGATTTCAGAGAAAACCAGTGGCACCATCGTGTTTCTTGCGAACTTTTACACAAGAATCATACACACAACTTTCATCAATCATACACAAAACTTTCTCTCAAATCGCAAATCCCCCACACGTGCAACATCTTCATTGAGGAAGACGGTAGGTCATGGACTAACTA